CGCAAAAGTCGTCGATTCCGTTACCTGGCTCGCGTTGACACCAGAGCAACCATACTTACAAGTGTTATGTGGGGTGGGACGGGAACATTGTTGGTGGGTGATTGAAAGTGATAACAACTGATAAGGGCTGATAAGGCGCGTCAGAACGCAAAAGTCGTCGATTCCGTTGCCTGGCTCGCGTTGACACCAGAGCAACCATACTTACAAGGTGTTATGTGGGGTGGGACGGGGACATTGTTGGTGGGTGATGAAAGTGATAACAACTGATAAGGGCTGATAAGGCGCGTCAGAACGCAAAAGTCGTCAATTCCGTTACGCAGCTTGCGTTGACACTAGAGCGTCCATACTTACAAGTGTTATGTGGGGTGGTATCACGACACTTTTGGCATATGACTGAGAGTGATAAGAGCTGATAAAAACTGATAAGATGCGTTAGAGCGCAAAAGTGGTTGTTTTTGGTGGTAGTTCACGTTGACATTCCATTCGTTCATACTTACAACTTTTATGTGGGTGGGACCGGAACATTATTTGTGGGTGAAAGAGAATGATAACAACTGATAAGTGCTTTCAAGGCGCCTTCAGAACGCAAAAGTCGCCGATCCGTTGCGCAGTCCACGTTGATACTAGGGTGTCTTACTCACATGTTGTACGGTGTGGGACGTGAATGTTGTACCGATATAATCACTTTAGCAAGCAAATTCTTCGTGAGTGATACATTTCAATTAGAAGACCAAAACTCATTGAACCGTTTCACCTTAAAATTTTCGGACAATGTGAATGAAGGATAAGCATTAGATAACATGCTCTCTTATTGTGAGTAAGCATGTTTCATTTCTATTTTGAGGTTAACGGCATAACCCTTTTCACCGCTAATTATCAGAATTCAAGAGAAATGCTGCGTGTTTACAGGGTTATGTTGATAACTATACCAGATCAGCTTCGCACTCTATCACAGGCGCATCTATGATGGACTTCAATGAAGCTGGAGAGCCTGCAAAACCTTGGGTCATTCGAATAACATATCCAATAATGAGGTGCTTTGCGGAGTAAGGCAGCTGATGTTCCACGGGCCCTCCATTTTCGTCTATCGTGTGGTGCGCGCGAAAGCGGGCGAAGCAAAATTGGCATTATACTACAGTACTCGCCGTTTGAAATCGAAAATTCACGCGAATAACGCGAATCCTCGTTAATTTCGTGAATTCGTTATAACTCGGTTCAAAATTGAGCTTTCGAGAATCCGAAGATATCTTTGAATTCAGCTCGTCGGACACTATAAGAATGCTTTGATACTTTGGAAAAGCTCCATATAGGATTGCGCCATGCACTCGAGTTTCATCTCGAGAAGTAACTGATTAGATGTGATGCGTTCATAATCACATCAGTGAAGCATGATCGTTCTATAGAAAGATGGGCTTCAAGGCTTGCCCAGAATGCGCCACGTACTCGACTTGGTCTAGTACATGGCGAAATTGATAGTTTTTTCAAGTTTCCAGGATTTCGATTTCCATTTCAAAGCCAAGAACGTGAGATGTGTAGTCTCTGAGCCCAAAATTTCCTTCCCTGCGTTCAGATGCTAACCTCAGATCAGATTTCAGCGGAGACTAGTAGGCCGATTTTGTGACATTTCCCAATTTTCCAAGAGATTTTTCGAAGGAACCTGAAGGGCTAGCGGCACGTTCCCACGCTCGTGCAACGGCCAGAGCGATCGATCGGTCTGCCACCAACTACGGCCGAAGCCATCGGCCATCACATGAGCTCTAACGCACGCGCACCTATATCGCACGTGGCCTCCAAGGGCTGGGGAAGGCGATCGGCGATGGGAAAAGGCCGAAAACCGTGAAATATCCAAGCTTTGAATGTGGGCAGTATTGCATATCATTCAGAAGTACTTTTAACGAAGAATCGACCAGTGCACATTTCAGTTCTGAGGGATCACATGGAAAATCAAAAAATGAAATCATTTCTTGGGGCATGACGAGGAGTGATGTTTGGGGCCACTCCACGGACGAACCATCCATTTGCAGCCAAGCTTTTTATGAAACACCTACAAACAAGTAAGCATAGTGTACGGAAGTGTAGGAATTTTCCCCCTCAGGTTTCTTCCAAAGTTCTCTTGGAAATTGGGATGTCACAAATTCGGCCTACTCCACTTAGTCCCGCTGAAATCTTCTATCAGTATAAAATATTCTATCAATTTCGCTATGTAATAGACCAAGTCGAGTACGTGGCGCATTCTGGGCAACCTTGAAGCCCATCTTTTTATAGAACGATCATGCTTCACTGATGTAATTATGAACGCATCATGTCTAATCAGTTACTTCTCGAAATGGAACTCGACTGCATGGCGCAATCCTATATTGAGCTTTTCCCAAGGTTTGAGAGCAAGTTCTTATAGAGAGATCGACAAGCTGAATTTAAACGTCATCCTCAAATTCTGAGAAGCTCAATTTTGCACCGATTCATAACGAATTCACGAAAATAACGCGAAATCGCGGGATTTGCGTGGATTTTTGATTTCAAACGGCGAGTACTGTATGCCGTTAGCCTCAAAATGAAAACGGAATGCTCATTAATAATAGGTGGGCATCTAACGCTTGTCTTTGATTTGCATTCACATTGTTTGATAATTCTAAAGTCTGGCAGATTCACGGCTCCTGACCATCTTGGTTTTGAATTGGGAATGAAATACATCATTCGCCAAACCTGCTCAAGCTAAGCTGATCATATAGACACGGTGTGACACCGTTCCCACATCGCAGAACGTTTGTAAGTAAGAAAGCTCTAGTGTCAACGTAGCCTGCGCAACGAAATGGCGGCTTTTGCGCTTTATGGATTTTTAGCAGCTTCTAACAGATGTTTTCATTTTCAAACACTCATCAAGGATGTCGCACCTCCCTCACCACATAACACTTGTTAGTATGGATGCCGTGATGACAACGTGGGCTGTGCAATAGATGGTGGTGATCTTCGCGTTCATAGGCGTCCCAACAGTCCTTATCAATTGTCACCACCATCCCACACCCCCAGACAATGTTCCCCTTCCCATTGCACATGACACGAGTTACGTAAAATTCTCCAGTGTCAACGGGGATGCGTAACGGGGTCGGCGACCTTTGCATACTAAGGCTCCTTATCAGCCTTATTAGTTGCAATCACTTTCAATTACCCATCAACAATGTCCCCGTCCCACATCTCATAGAGCTTGTAAGCGTAGATGCTCTAGTGTCAACCCGAGCTCAGTAACGGAATTGACGACTTCCACGTCGACATGTCTTACCAGCCTTTATCAGCTGTAATCACTTTCGCTGACAATGTCATTTTCGGTGACGACAATGTCTCAGTATCAACTTACATATAACTTGCAAGTATGGATGATCTAGTGTCATATATCAACAACATAACAAAACTGGCGTCACTTTCTAGCCCCTTATCAGTTCTTATCCATCGCTATCAGTTTCTCTCCCTCACCATTTGTTTGACTACCCCCACAGCATATGTAAAAACCATTGCGCTATCCTTGCTTCAACTTGGAATACGAGTTTCAGGCCAACAACCCTTACCAACAAACACCCTTAGCCGATTTACATACACCAGCTTGGCTCCGCTCGCTACCGCGCTCATATCAAAGTAGGCTTCAGTGGAACTGAGCACATCCGAGCTATTGCGTTAGGCAGCAGGATTCGTTGCTTTTGACTGATGTGATTAACGAAAAGTTTCTATAGTGCTGGTAATAAAACAGTCTAGCTCGTTGTTTCGAAGGTAGAGTGGTAGATTTGCTCTAGAATGCCGACTCTTCAAATTATTTTAGTGAAGCAACATTTGTCAATACTAACATTTAATCAACTTCTGTTATGTCACAGTAGTTAAGGTTATGGTTGGTTAGCCTTTCCTCTGGATACGTATTGGGATATTCTATATTGATTTGTGCCTGACGGTATTGGTCAATAGTGGCTGGAGATTTAAGTTGGTGATCCTTGGTTGGTGTATCGATTGGTGGCCTTGGCTGGTGATGGATCCACTGGCTGTACCTTATTGACTGCAGCACATTCATCGGTATCGTGGACTGCGTTTAGTGCTCCAACAAATCAACAAGCATAAGCAGCCTAGCTTTGCCGATTTGAGAGCCAACAGCGGGTTTGAGTAGCAGCGAAAGCCCAACCTCCAAATTTCTTCATTCTGATCTGATAGAAAATACAAGAAGGGCTTTGCTTGGGGAACCAAGAACCAACCTATAATACCAGGATCATTGATGAAGGCAAATGACAACACCTTGATGGCGACGGCTTTTTGAAGAGAAAACAAAGTAAAAGAAAATCTGCTTCTTTCTGAGGTTCTTCGACCACACATTTCGGGAAATTCATTGAAAATTGGAACGTTCTAGGAATATAGTTTCCAGCGCCACCGTGTAGCCCAATCATCGTGCCACCAAACGACTATGCGCTCCCCTTTTCTAGTTCAACTTCTGAAGGAGAAGTCTTACTCTTGCACTTTACCTTCTGGTTGATCCTGTATGTAGCCCGACACCTGGAATATCCTAAAGGGTGATCGTAAAGAGTGAGGCTCAAATGGAGGTGTCGAAGGAATTGGAATTCTAGCTCATGAAAACAACGAGCAAATGAGGAGGCTAGCCAGTAGGTGGACTTGTGTGTTGAGTTAGAAAGTATGTTAGAAGCCATCAATACTTCTTGGAAGAATTTCACAGCAAAAAGCAAAAAGCAAAATCCAGTGCCCCTTCGCCAATACATGTCAGTGCTCACAAGACACACTCGGCCGCTGAACTGTGGATACCCAGGACATGGTCATAGATGATGAGCAAAGAGAACTGACTGGGATATCAGAGCACAATTGTCATCATTCGCCTGAAAACCAAATTATTATATTTGCTGGTCCACTTGGAATGGTACATGCCAAAGAATGCATAATAGAGAATACTCTGTTTTCTACCCGACGTGAACAATGTTCAAACTAAAAAAACATGTTGGAATAAAGCACATATTAAGGAAACCGCACCACCTGTGTTGAACGTTGTTTGGGAACCTACCGGAGGCGCAACGGCACAACAGGTATCTGAGTTAATTTTTTTCTCCCGAATGTTTTATAAAGAGAACATAAATGCGTAACCATAGATCAAAACATTGTTTATTGTGGAGTGACACACAAAGGACCGAAGAAAAGATACGCTGTAAAATTCGCTACCAATGAGCACAATATCATCGCAAACATCAAGTGCTGGAGTTTTTCAGCATCTATAACGATGCCGCAAGGCAACTGGACGCTTTGCATTACGAGTTCTAGAGCAGCAGAGAACAGCTTTGAGAGAAATGACTTCGCCTTGTCGTACACCTCGTTGAATCTTCACACGGATCGGGTCGTTGAGTAAATTGATATCAGTGTAGCAGCTTGTATTGTCGTATTATTTCAATGTATCTTCGAGGAAATTCCGAAAGCTTGTGAGAGCATTCAGTACTGCTTGATGTTCAACCGTATCAAATGCTTTTTTGAAGTCGATGAAGAGATAGCATAGAGGGATTCGGTATTCTCGACATCTTTCTGTAAGTTGAGAGACGACGTGGATTTGATCAATAGTGGAGAATCCTTCACGGAACCGGCTTGCTCTCTACATGTATTTGTATTGAGATTTGACGAATGCGGTTTAGGATGACACGCGAGAAGACCTTGAGCACACTGATAACAGTGCTATTGGGCGGTAATTAGCCAAGACGTCACGCGGTCCTTTCTTGTGTATCAAAAGTGTTGGATCCCAAGCCAATCTTTCGGAACAGTTCCTGACGCAAGTATTTCCGTGAATATATCTGCTAGCGGAGGCGAGAGAAACTTTTGCAGGCGTTTTGAGTGCTCTGCTCGAACTTGGTGATTTTCGGGTGATTTTCCACTCTTCGTTTGAGGATTGCCTGTATCACTTCAGATTCGAGAGCTCGCCACTTCTCTTCCGGATGTTTATTCAGGATCATTGAATGACGTCAATTCCGGTTGCACTTGAAGCAGCTGAAAAGTCGATAAGCCTTGAAAGAACATATATCAGTACTCGTCTTAATAACCCCTGAATTCCTAACAAAGCAGATGGCTTTATTGTCCGAAATGGTAGGGATGTGTAGGAAGGGATCCAATACTTTTCCAACACGTGTTCTCCTCGTATTTTTTGTGCCGTATACTCTCGATAATCATTTTTGACTCTGTAACGTATGGCCTTGTTTAACACCGTTCGAGCCACAGGGGTCATGGTTCTTCCCAGTTCTTCCGAGTGGCCAACATCTGTAGGGTAATGGCACTTACTCGCTCTCGTGGTTTGCTCCGGGCACGTTCGTTTTATAAGGGTTTGGATGGCGGAGGTCAGTTTTTCATATATGGTGTGTACGCTTCCATGTCCTACAGAAAAATCTTTCAATCATCTCATGTGATAGTACGTATCTGGTTCTTCTCGAGTGGTATGCAGCTAATCGTCATCGTCCGATATTTGAAAAACAGATGGGCAGATCGTTCGCCGTGAGATTTCTCCCCCTCTGCCGTTGCCCTCTCTGCCAGGAAGGGACGGTGGCTGCACGGGTACTGAGGGTACAATTTCTTCGACTTCACTCATAGATGCTGATGGCCTGGACATCCCCCACCGCCTAGCCAAAACTGGCGGTAATCCACTGCCGGAAGTG